TGCAGTTCCCTTGCATGCTGCAAGGGTAGGTAGGTGACAGATCAGCCCAATGGCCTGGCTGAGGAGAGACAGGGCCCCTCTAGGGGTGTCCTAGTAATTGAGTCTCCTTTCTCTGATCCAAATGGAGGGAGGCCCACAATCTGAGAACCTATGATTGACCAGGTTTAATCAGCCGTGGGAGAAAGGTCAGCCGGGGTATCAGGGAGTGCGGAGCACAGGGACCAAAACAGTATAGATGTGGAGAGGTGGGGGGGGGGGGAATTGTAGCACCCGTGATTGTAAGTTGTAAGTGCACTCACATTTTGATCACATGACCATGGGAATGCTGCAACATGCGTAATTTTGAGGATTCACTGTCACCTTAACTTTGAATGGTTGAAAACTACCTGCACTTGAAGCCTCCGCCATAGAAACAAAGGGGCGTGCCAGAGGTCGAGAAAACTGCAAAAACCGCTCCCCTTGCCGTTTCCCCCATTCTTTACCTCCATCCATTAAAACTGGAACAATTCTTCCCAATTTTGTGAAGTGCGTTGTCTTACTCATATCTCAGCTGACTACCAATCCATCTCAAAAATGTTCAGTCAGAGCTCAAGTTCAGTGCAGGAAAAGGGGTGAGTGCAAAGAGGCCCTCCTGGCACAGCTGCCGTCTACTCTTCAAGCATTTCGGCTCCTGCCCCAGAAAGTGACGGGTAAAGCCTACATGACTACATTTCAGAGACAGCAAAACTGACTACTTTGATGAAAGACAAAAGTCCCATCTAACTTTGTTTCCACATGGAAACCACTTTTGGACTGGATAAAGTTTTGATTTTAGGATTTGATGATTAGATGTGTTATGGTTATAAATATGTGTTTTTATTAGGTTTGTATGCTGTATATTTTTATGTTTAAGCTTTTATTAGATTTGTATGCTGTATATTTTTGTTTAAGCTTAAACCCAATTTTTCCTTTTCTGTTGTTTTGTATTTTATCTTTGAAACATAATAAAGTTCAATTGAAAACTATTTTCTATTGAAATTGACTATAATAGCGGAATCTTGCAAGACTGATTGCCATCCTCCTTATGCACCTTATCCTGAATTAGAGGCGCCTCTGCCCAAACCCCTTTTGAATAATTTCTTGTCGTCCAGGACTTTAAAAAAACAAAACACTTCAACCTTGTTTGGCTAGGTAGCAGCTTCTGTGTAACTCCATCAAGATCATCTTTGCTCTCTACAAGCAGTAGTGAGAATCCAGGAAGACCACCAGGTTGCATCCAAGTCCCAAAGGGGAATGACGGAACTAAGTGTGGAAGCTTCTTGGACCTGGTGTCTTCTCATGAGGAGCAGCTGTCCAGAGCAGGACTCGCCAACCTTTTGGACCTCAGGGACCACCAAACTCATAATTTTAAATCCCAGGGACCACTAGCCGGTTCTGTGGGCTTGGCCTAATTTGTGGGTATGGATTGGTGGTCATGTGACTGGCTGGGCATGGCTTTTATGTAAATATTATAAATGTATAAATATTGATTATTTTTATTAAAAAAGAGCAACTTTTACCCAAAATCAGGCAAAGTAGGCAGGCAGATTGAGTGGCTCATAGAATCACAGATTCATTCAGAGATCGATCTATCTGCCATTGGCTAGCTCAGTCTGTCACATAAAATTTGCTTGCAAACTCATAAAATTTGCTAGCAAGCAAACTCACAAAATTAACTCACAACACACCATATATGTAAAGATTGATTTTTTTATTAAAAAAAGAGCAACTTTTACCCAAAATCAGGCAAAGCAGGCAGGCAGATTGAGTTCTTCACAGAATCATTCAGTGATCTATCTATGTGCCATCGGCTAGCTCAGTCTCTCAAATTTGCTTGCCGAGTCTGCACTAAATAATAGCACCTTCAGTCCTATGGGAGGTTCGGCTGTGCTTAAAAGCAGAGCTGAAGATCTAGCTAGAAAGCAAGAAATCCAACCATTTCCTGCTTCCTAGCTAATCTAAATCTCCTGGCACAGCAGAACAGCTGATGGCTGGAAAAAGAAAAAATGGCAATTTAGCAGGCAAGTTTACCTGGTAAGGAGTGAGTGGGTGGGGAGGGTTCCTGCAGGCCATGTGGGCGGCTCATTGATTAATTGCTTTGGGGGGAGCTCTGGACGTGAGATTTCTCTGCAGCCCACCAAAATTTTCTTGCGGCCCAAGGGTTGGCGACTACTGGTCCAGAGCACCTATGGTGATCTCAAGTCCTCCCCTTGTCTGGAGAGGAACTATGAAAGAGTCAACCTACTCACCGTCTTTGTACTCCACTGTTTCCTCCCTAGAAGTCCACATATTTGATCCACAGTCACTCTCACCAAGGCTGAACCCAAGTCTGTTCTGCCTCTTCCAAGCCTGACAGATTGCAGGCAAAAGGGACAAAACCTTGATAAGTATCACTTGATTGGCATGGGATCAGGATAATAACATCTAGATATCATTTATATATACCGATGACACCTGATTGCCTGTTAACCTTCCCACATAGATGAGATAGGAAACATGACTAAACGGACTAATTCTACTTAATTAAGGCTACATTAAGTCTTGCAAGTCTGAAAGTGCAAATATCTCACTTTACAGCCAGAATCATTAATAGCAATGGCACTCTGCTTCACAGTGCTTTCCAGCCCTCTCTAAGCATTTACAGGGTCAGCCTCTTGCCCCCAACAATCTAGGTCCTCATTTTGCTGACCTTGGAAGGATGGAAGCCTGAGTCCACCTTAAGCCTGGTGAGATTTCAACTGCCAGACTGCAGGCAACCAGAGTCAGGAGGAGTACTGCACTGTAACCACTGCAAAAATCCTGAGTTTCTTTCTTTGCCTGTTAGGCAGCTGAGGGCTCCTTCTCCTCAGCTCATCATTCCCTGAGTGGCATCTATTCCCATAGTTTTTCCCACATATTCATTCCAAGAAAGTAGTTCATTTGATGGCATAATATAGACATTAAACAGAAGATGGGGGTGGGGGTGTTTTGCTTCTGTAGGTATCCAGGCTCAGTCTCTTTCCCTAAGGGAGAGGAGCCACCACCAACATGCCCCACCCCCAGTTCTTAATCTCTAAAGTATTTACATTTTTGAGCTCATCCTACGAGCTCTACTCCTACCCTCTGGAGCAAATGAGAATTAAGTCTGAACCCCCTACAATATGACTGCCCTTCAGATAGTTGGACTGCTATTTTTCCTGCAATTTAAATGTATTTTGGTCTGTGGAGTCATTGGTGGTTTGCTAGCAGACATTTCATTATTGAACTAGGTAACATCATCAGTGCTATGGGGTTTGCTCAAATATACAGTAGCTTCCTGCCAGTGTTGAAAGAGTGTGTTCTTGATATTTCCTTGAATAGAGAATAGTTTTCTGCTTGCTTGTCTGGTGTTAATCCCTGCTTATCTAGGTCCAGGCTCCTGGAGGTCTTTTCTGGTCTTTTTTACTTAGTTTCTTAAATTATCTCTCTTGAATGTGTTTATAGTTTATTTCTGTGTGTCTGTTGATGGACAATTTCTCTGAATGCCAAGCTTCCAAGATTTCCCTAGCACTTTTGGGTTTAGCTTGGTCTAGCATCCTCTATTTCCCAACTGAAACTGTGGTTGAGTCTGTGTGTTGTGAGATTAGGAAGTTTTCGTCATGTTTTCTGATTGCAGGATGGTGCACAAACGACCAGGCTCAGAGAGCACCAAGGACTCCACAGTTCAAAATTAAGCTACCTGAATTCTCTTCTATTGATACCTCATCCTGAAGGTATCCTGAACTTCCTTTGGAACCCAGTAGAGTCCTTTAGTTACCTAAGCAGCTCAGTCCAATGGTCCCTGCCTTCTACCATGGGAACACAAGAGGGCAGCACCATCAAGCCAAGTTGTCTGATTATCTGATCTTCCTTCTATGTCTTCCTTTTATACATGTTACTCCTGCCACAAAATCCAAAACACTTCTAAAGTGTGACATGTGCTTGTCCTTGATGACATAGAGAAGCTCTATGATTTTTATGATACCCTTCAGAGCTGCACCAGGCCGAATGCTTTTCAGGGACAGATGCAGCCTCAAGGATCAGCCTTGATATCTCACTAGAACCATGCAATGGAATCCAGCAGCTCAGGGGAGAGTCCTGCTCCACAACACCAGTACAAAAGCAAAACCCAACTGTTTCCTAAAGCCCAATGTCACAGGGCCTCATAGTTGCAGCACAGCCCCATTCCCCATGCTGGAATAGCAGCTGGCATCCAACATAAAATCCAGGTAGGCACATATCTGAAAACTCTTCTCTGGGCCCAGGCTAGTCAGCCAATTCCTCTGTGAACAGATTACAATCTGGACTATCTGGAAACAAGACCAGGAAGGATCAGGTGAGCAGAAGGCAAGCCACTTTTGGACTCTTGCTTCGTAGCCTCCTCCCAGTCTCCACATTAATGGTATTGAACCACATGACTGGTCTGCAGGTAACACTTGGAGAGGGCCTCAAGTATTAATAATTTATTAAAATTGTATGTCGCCTAGCTTGTGACCGACCACTTGATCTAGCAGCTGGACAGAGCCTCCTGCCATGAGGGGCCGAGGCAGCCTTTGACAGCCTTGACAGTGGGATACCAAAGGACAGTCCCAGTTGGTGTGAAGGGGCTCACCCTGGCAACCTCTCCTGGGTGGGCCTCTCCAGGGCTCACCCTGCTCTTGTATGGATTCTTACGCTTGAGGGATTCTTGGGAGAGTGTCTCTTGTATGCGGTACCATCTCATCAATTTGCTGAGGGTTTTTGTCAGTCCATTAGGATGCGACTATCCCAGGTTTCTTCCAGGAGGGGCGCTGCAGCTCCACCAGCTGCTCAGGTCCTGACCCAAACATCTTCCAAACCCACCAGGCTGGAAAGAATTGGGGAGGGTCTATGTGGGCAAATGGGCTTCTAGCAAATTATATAAACTTGCCAAATTACAAAAGCAAGCCCCCACCCCAGCAGCTAAGAAATGAGGCCGGAAGAGCACAAATTGGCATCACAAAGGCCTGTTCTTGACAAATACAAACCTATTTAATAAAACCGCTGAAGGTTCCCGAGGTGTCCCAGGAACAGCCTGCCTTTGCTCAGGCGCCACCGTCCGGGGGGCCGGCACAGCTCAGCCAAGGAAGCGCAGCCCTGCCATCCCAGAGAAGCCCAGGAGCAGAGCGAGGACTTTGGGCAAGCGGCCCGAGGGAAGATGCAGCTCCTGGGGCAAGATCTCCAGGAAGGTGACGTACAGGAAGGTTCCTGCCGCCACCCCCTCCAGGACGCTCCGCGCCAGGGACCCTCCGGGACCGGCACCGCAGGGCACGGCCATGCCCACCCCCACGCCCACGGGAGACATGAGCGCGAAGCAGGCCACGGCGGCCGCCAGCCAGGGCAAGGCCAGGCGGCTCTGGAGCAGCAACAGGCCCAGGCTGGCCGCAACCATGCACTTATGGAGGACGATCGCCACCGCCAGCCGGAGCACCTTACTCGGCGTGTCCTGCAGCCCCAGCGCCAGCCCCTCGAAGGCCGAATGCAGCGACAGCGAGACGACCAGCACCAGCGAACGGAAGGGCGACGGCGCGGCCTCGGCCCGCTGCTCCCCGACGGCGGCTTCTTGGCGGCGCTCAAGGACTGGCGTGGCCTCGGCCCCCGGCCGCTCGCTGCAGTCCAGCATCACGTGCTCCAGCACCAGCACCAGCAGGAAGCCCAGCGCCAGGACCAGCTCGGGCGCGGGGAAGGCCGTCTGCAACGGAGAGAAGCCGAGCGTCAGCGCCGCCGCCCCGGCCGGCCAGGGAGGCCGGAGGATCGGGGGGGGGGGCGGGGGCGTTGCTTTCGACGACGGGAGCGGCTCAGGGACCCGGCCAAAGGCGGCGAGGGGGTTCCCCGCCGGGTCAGCGGCACCTTCAGGTCCTCCCTGAAGTCCCCGCGCGATTCAAGGCCGAGCCGCCCCCGAGCCGCCCTGCGCTCGGCCACAGGGCCGCTGCGAGTTCCCAGCACGCAAGGCGCCAGCAGGCGATGCGGTTTGGCTTGGCCTCGCCCGGGAAAGCCGCCCCCTCAGGTACCGAGAGGCTCTGCCGACGGAGTTCGTCCCGAAGATCGGCCAGCGAATCCGGCATCACGTCCAGCAAGCAGGCGGCCATAAAGACTCCGCCCGCCGCGCAGCTCAGGATGCTTCGCCTGCTCCGAGAGGCGCCTGCGGAGATTCGAGGAGAAGGAGGACGCTGAGGGAGGCCCGGCGGCCCACGCCACCTGCCCGTCCCCCAGGAGACCCCACGCACCGTTGGCCGCGGCCCCGCGCAAGCGGAACAGCAGCGCCGGGAGGAGGCCGCAGAGCAGCGGCAGCGCGGCCAGCGCGAGCAGGCAGCCCAGCTTCAGCGCCTGCAGAGACCACATGGCGCCCCGTCGGATCTGGCGCTGCCCCGGTCGGCCCTTTAAGCCCTCGCCCCGCTCCGGCCCGCCCACCACAGGCCGGGAGCTCAGCCCATCTGGCCGCCCCCGCCCCGCCCCGCGAGGTGGCCTTGTTGGAGGGGCGACGACCTTGGCTAGGAGTCCGCGGCCTCGGGGGGGCGGGGGTGGGTGGTCTGAGGAGAAGTTGACGCGCGCTTGGAACAAGAGCCGTTGCAGCCCCGTCCGCGGGGCAGGGCCCGAGTTTGTCTGCGGGAGGACGGCTCGGATGTTGCTCCGGTGGGAGAATCCATCCTCCCGGAGTCTCTTCCACGGACGGTTCCCGGGGTCCGAGAGCAAGCTCCCGAAGCGGCAGTGCGGGCGGCTTGGCATGAAGAGGGCGGGGGGGGGGGG